CCTGGTCCTTTCGAATCTGTGCCAAAATTCACTACTAGAAAATATGAAATTTGTACAATTGTTTTTTAATACTCCCTAGCTACTACATCGCTAAAAACATCCTAGGTAATTGCTCTTCTTATAAAACGTTGCTAATTCGTAACTAAATGGAATTAACATGAAATCTTTGTTATTTAGCTACACAATTTTATCGGTTACAAGTTTCTTATTTTCTAATGGTGAAAGTAGTGAATCATCACGATCGAAGCTTGACTCTAGCCAATAAACTAGCAATAAGCTCGACTACAATAAAGCCCTTATAAAAAGGAAAAATCACGCCACACATCTATTTAAGGATTAATATTACAACTTTTAGGTCTACTTTTTTAATAATACTACTTACAACATTTTAATTATAACTTTTAACCAATCATTTTTAATTTATCAAATCATTTTTAATTTATAGTTTAATTAATTTTTTTTTATTAAATAATTAATTATATTTTATTAACTAATTATTCTTTTTATAATTATATTATAATTGTAATGACCTGTTCCTGTCGTTAGAGACTCGAGCCTGTGGCGGATCCAGAAGCAGACCCTGCAGAAGAGGCAGACTCAGAACCAGAATCAGACCCAACCGGTGATCCTATTAGTGTATCCTCCTCATCAGACTGGGAGGCAGTGACTATGTCGTGAACCACCTCCTTGGATTGATTCCGAGTAGCCCGGGGTACTCTGGGTGCTGTCCTCCCAATGAGGGGGGACCATATTCGGGGTCTTTCCCAGCATCAATATCCTCATTGATTAGCCAACGGGTTGGTGCCGTTGATTTGGATCTACCCTTGATGGCTAGAGCTTTATTCGAGGCCATGGTACCTGTGGAGGAAGAATTAGTACTAACATAACCTTAAAATACACTCAAATTTTTTTTAGAACAAATAATGAACCAGACGAAAAACTAAAAAACAATTCAGACAGTGGTTTTAGTGGCCACATACGGTGGGTACCTACGGTCTGTGGATCCCCTCTATAGGTCAGAAGTCCCAAAAAGTTGGGCTCTGATAAGAACCATGGATGTGCAAAATGGTCCATAAATTGACCTACAGACCGTAGTCCACCTCCGTGGTTCCACACTTAGTGGAATTGCTTTGTGCTACAGACCACAGACCTAATCTACGGTCCATAGACTGACCTATGGTCCGTAGACAAGGTCTCGTGGATCAGGTCTATGCCAGGTATCAGACATGCTTCTATTCGAAACCAATTTTTTTACCAATTCAAACAATTGACCTTAGTTTAATCATGCATTTCAATACAATTTATGCCAGTTTGTCATCCCAATGGTTCCAATTACGCAATTGTTTTATAGATATTCCTACGAGACTAGAAACTCTAAGTCGAAACTTGCATTTAGACTCTTATTTCACTGATTTAACATATTATAAAGACAACACAATCACAATCTATCGTCCTAAGGGTGTTTCTAATTTTAGTTTAACATAAAATTTCATACAATCAACAACCCAAGGTCAAGATCCATTTCATGACTTTCTATAACAACAATGAACCGAAATTCAAAGTGAAGAGAAAGTTGATTACCTTACAAGCAAAGGAAATGGGTGATGGTGTGATGACTCTAGATATCCAACAACCTCTACTTAGCCTTTTGCACCAAACCCGGACACCAGAACCTCTTGGGAATGGGGAATAGAGGAATTTGGGAGAGAGGAGAGTGAATTGGGAATATGGGAGAATGAAGGTGGGGTGATTAATAGGATATGGTGGTGAGAGGAAACATTACAAAAATGGTTTGGGTGAATTTTGGTAATGGGGCGAATGTTTAAACAATGAGGGGTTTTATTTAAAAGAGGTCCGGGTCGTGTAAGACAGAACTAGGGTTTGGACCCACGAGACCCCATCTACGGTCAGTGGGTCGACCTACGAATCATAGATGGGGTCCGTAGATCATTTAGACACTTAGAAGAATTTAGGAAACTTACCTGGGGTCTACGACTACCATTCATGGTCCGTAGTTGGACTTACGGACCGTCGATGGTCTCCGTAGACCTCTGCACTAGACATTTTCTACAGATTTTGTTTTTCGTCCCTGCACATGTAGCAACCATTAGGCCTTTCTTTTTACATTTTCTAGACACTTTTTAGACACAGACCCTATGGTATATCTAGCCAACACTAACCAAACATAAAACACCTATCTAAAGGAATACAGAAAAACAAATAAACAAAGAAAACTACTAAACCGAAAAAAAAACCTATAGTTGGCTAGATTGTACATCTTGGGTTGCCTCCCAAGCAACGCTTGATTTAACGTCGTGACACAACGCATGCCTCTTGATTACTCAGACTTCATCAAGATACTAGGCCTCAACAACTTTTTCACACTTTCTGCGTTTCCCTGATAGACCTCGATCATTTGCCCGTTTACCTTGAACCTTGTTCCCTCAATGTTCTCAAGCTCGACCGCTCCATTTGGGAGCACTTCCGTGACTAAGAATGGCCCGGTCCACTTGGACTTGAGCTTGCCCGAAAACAAGCGCCACCTAGAGTTGAATAGAAACACAAGATCACCCACAACAAATTCTCGCTTTTCAATCCTTCGATCATGATACTTCTTCATCTTCTCCTTGTTCAAGGCTGAACTTTCATAATCTCTTAGGCAAAACTCATCAAACACATTTAAGTCACTCATTCTCTGATTCGATGTGGTGCCCCAATCCAAATTTATCTTCTTTATTGCCCACATAGCCTTATGCTCTAGCTCTACCGGCAAATGGCAAGACTTCCCATATACAAGTTGGTAGGGGGACATACCTATGGGAGTCTTGAATGCGGTGTGATAGGCCATGAAGCTTCCTTGACCAATCAGTTCTATTAGCATTCACAGTCTTCGCCAAAATCTGTTTGATCTCTCTGTTGGGCACTTTAACTTGCCCACTAGACTGTGGATGGTAAGGAGTGGCTACATTGTGGTGGACGCCATATTTCTCAAGTAACATCTTGAAAAATTTATTACATAATGGGAACCTCCATCACTGATAATCACCCTCTGTGTATCAAATCTGGAGAAGATATTCTTTTTCAAGAATGCGGTGACAGTTTTACCTTCATTGTTGGGAAGCGCAATTGCTTCCATCCACTTCGACACATAATCAACCGCAACAAGAATATACTTCATCCCATGTGAACTTACAAATGGACCCATAAAATCAACGCCTCATACATCAAACAACTCTATCACCAATATAGGATTCATAGAAAGCTCTTGCCTCTTTGAAATTCCTCCTTCTCTTTGGCAACAGTCACAAGACTTGGCGAAATCATGAGCATCTTGGTGGATGGTAGGCCAGTAATACCCACACTGCAAAATTTTATATGCAGTCTGAATGCCACTTTGATGCCCACCAACAAGCGATGCATGGCACGCCTCTAATATACTCAACATCTCAACCTCGGGCACACAACGACGAATAATCCCATCAGCACAACTACAATACAAGTAAGGCTTTCCCAAAAGAACTTCTTCACATCATGCATAAACTTTTTCCTTTGGTGAAAAGACAAATCCGATGGCACCAGATCACTTACCAAATAGTTAGCAAAGTCTGTGAACCTAGGGAATCAGATTATAGGAAGCAACCAATTCATGTTCATCTGGAAAAGCATCATTAATTTCAGCTCTATCACCAAGCTTGAGCATAGCTTCTTCCTCCAATCTGGACAAGTGATCGGCAACCTCCTATAGAAGCCTGCATGCCCAAGAAAACTTCTAACACCTTTAAGAGAGATAGGTGGTGGAAGCTTTTCTATTACCTCAACTTTCGCTCTATCAACCTCAATACCCTTCTCAGAAATTCGATGACCTAGAACTATCCCTTATTTCACCATAAAGTGGCACTTTTCCCAATTGAGCACAAGATTACACTCTTCACACCTTTTAAGCACCTCGGCCAAATGGTCCAGACAACTATCAAAAGAGTCACCTACCACCGAGAAATCATCTATAAGTACCTTAATAGTGTCCTCTTCCATATCAGAAAATATCGACATCATACAATGCTGGAAGGCCGCAGGAGCATTACACAACCCAAATGTCATCAATTTGAAGGCGAAAGTCCCATAAGGGCAAGTGAAGGTGTCCTTTGCTTGGTCTTCCGGGGCTATAGAAATCTGATTGTAGCCCAAATACCCATCAAGGAAACAATACCAATCCTTACCCACAAATCGGTCTAACATCTAATCCATGAACAACATAGAAAAGTGGTCATTTTATGTCGAAGCATTTAATTTCTGGTAGTCCATACAGACTCTCCATCTAGTCACGGGCCGTATCGGAACAAGCTCGTTTCTCTCATTAGGTACCACAATAATCCACCTTTCTTGGGCACACACTGAACATGACACACAAAACTACTATCTGCAATGGGATAAATAACTCCAGCATCCAACCACTTGATGATTTCCTTCTTAACTACCTCTTGCATAGGCGGATTTAGTCTTCTCTGGTACTCAATACTAGGCTTGTGATCCGGCATGAGTTGAATTTTATGAGAACAAATACCAGGAGGAATCCCAATAATGTCCGCAATAGTCCACCCAATAGCTCTCTTAAACCTCTTCAACACGGAAACCAATGCCTCAACTTGTGCTACATTCAAATCTGCCGCAATGATGACCGGTAAAGTACCATTTTTCCCCAAGAATACATATCTCAAATGTGATGGTAGAGCCTTAAGCTCTAATTTTGGAGCCTCTTCAACAGACGAACTAGCAGGTGGAGAGTCGTGATTCTTCAAGTCTAACTCCAATCTCTTTGGTTTTGAACGGAATTCAAACCTATCAAGTGTAACGACCAATTCATCATAGTCTTCAATACCATCACCCTTTAAGTTTATCATTACCGCTGCTAGTGCATCAACACCCAACCTCTCTTCAATAGGCACCTCAGAACCATTCTCTACAACATGTATCACTATAGAAACCGATTTGAGCTCACTACTCTACTTCATGGACCTAGAGATATTGAAAGTTGCCTCTTCATTTTTCAATCGGAACTTCATCTTCCCTTTCTCCATATCAACCAAGGCGCGCCTAGTGGCTAGGAATGGTGTCTCAAGGATAATGGGAACTTCAAAGTCAACATCACAATCAAGTATCAAAAAATCCGCCGGAAAGATAAAAGATTCAACTTTCATTAGTACATCTTGGAGCACACCAATGGGCTTTTTCACAGTTCTATCAGTCATAAGCAGTCGCATCACAGTCGATTTTGGATCCTCTAAACCCAACTTCTTGTAAATAGCCAATGACATCAGATTGATACTAGCACCTAAATCGCACAACGCCTTTGCAAAATGTAGCAACCCAATGGTACAAGGAATAGGAAAGCAACATGATCCTCCTTCTTCTGCACAAGGGTCCTTGTAGCAATAGCACTACAATGTTGCAACTTATCATCATCTTCCAAACTTACAGCCCTCTTTTTAGTTACTAAGTCCTTCATAAACTTCGCATACCCAAGCATTTGATCCAAAGCTTCTATCAACGGCACATTGATGGAAGGTTCTTCAACATACTAATAAAACTGCGGTATTTGACTTCTTCAGTCTTCTTTACTAACCTCTGTGGGAAAGGAGGTGGAGTTCTAAGTATGGGAACAACTTTCTGAGTTATCTCCACTTTCTTCTCTGTCGCAATCTCGAACTCTCCATTTACCTTAATCACATCATCATTTTTACTAGCCTCAACTTCAACCCCAGATGGCATAGGTGGATCAATTGTCTGCTTACCCCTCGAGTAGTGACTGCCATACAATGCCATTTCAATTTTGGATGGTGTTGCTAGGAAGTGTGTCAGGTTGATGTGGGTTTACTGTAGTAGACAACTGAGTCATTTGTTGCTCAAGATGCTTGATTGACACTGCATGGGCATCAACTTTTTGACCAATACCAGACAAGTCACTTCGCATCTCCTTCACATTCTCATCAGTCGAATCAAACCTCGTCATCATCTTCTGCATCATATCCTCAATACGTGACATATTACCTCCAGCTTCCCTATTACCAGATACCCGATTTTGAGGAGGAACATAAGACCCAACCCAATCGTTTCTGTTGCCACAATTATTCCGGTTGTAGTTGTTGTCGCGATTATAGTTCCCATCCCGGACATATTGACCCTCTCGGTTGTAGTTGCCATAGTTTCGACCTTGGTTTCCTTGACCTTGGTGCCAATTATCCGTATTGGAACCTTGGGCGTTGGCTCAGAAACCCCCCGTCTGATAATTCACCGCATAAATATCCTCTTCATAGTAACACTCCTCAACCGGTGGTGGATTTCTAGTCAAATAATTGACAACATTTACCTTTACAGTACCTCTGCTCACATGCTCCAACACCAATCCCAGTTCGGTACTCATCTGAGCCATTTTTTCATGAATCTCATCGGCAGATTGATTAGTTGTAGCTTGAAATGCAAATGTGTTTCTCCCTGTATTGGACTTTCTAGTGCTCCACGCTTTATTATTCCGAGAAATCTTCTCCAGTTTCTCTGCAATCTACTTAAAAGTGCACTCACCATATGAATCTCCAGTGATAGTTTCAAGCACCGCCTTACTATTGTCATCCTAACCTCGGTAGAAGTATTCCTTCAGCGATTCATCATCAATACGATGATTCGGGACACCTCTTATGAAAGTAGTGAACATGTCCCAAGAACTACTCACAGACTCTCCAGGTAGTGCTACGAAGTTGTTGATTTTATCTTTATGGTTCAACTTCTTTGACACTGGAAAGTATTTTTCAAGGAACACATCAGTTCATTGGTCCCATGTGTAGATTTAGTTAAGGAAGCTCGGTAAACCACACAGCAGCATCGCCGGTCAATGATAGAGGAAATACTCTCAATCCAATGACATCCATGTCCAAGTCCGGTCGACCCACACAACTTTTGCAAACACTCATCAGCTTGGCTATGTGTGCATATGGATCCTCCGATACCAAACCAGAGAACAAATCCCTCACTGTAAGCATCTGCATCAAACTGCTAGTCACCACAAATGTATGCCCCGGAGGTAGAGGGGGTAGAACAAGAGGTCCTTCAGATTCAGCAGCATTAAAGTTGACCCAATAGTTATCACGCAGTCTTGGTCCTGGTGGATCATGTACCCTCAATGCATCTCCCAATAGATTCTCACCTTGAACCTGATTATTCTCATCACCAACCCTCAGAGGCTGCAGCTCAACCCCATCACCTAAATCTCCTCTGATAAGATTGACTGGGACTCCTTGATTATTCATTCTTCGCAAAGTTCTGTTCAATTCTAGATCCTAAGGAGTAAGTGGTTCACTTTGGCTCCGTGTACTTGGCATACACTAAAGTAGGAACCTGAGAGAAACAAAAACAAAAGAAAAAAAAGTAAAATTAGGAAATATTTGACTTAAGTTCAATAATGTAGTTAAACTTAATCTAAAAGCCTTATTCCTCGACAATGGTGCCAAAATTTGATACGCTCAAATTACGCCTCCCTAAAGTAGTATAAGTTATCGTTATCAAGTAAAGAACCCAACTTGGAGGTTGGGATCGATCCCACAAGGAATATGGTTTAGACTTAAACTTACCTTACGATTATATTTTTTTAGTCAACGTATTTTCGAAACAAGTAAAAAAAGGGTGGGGGAGGGGGGGGGGTTTGTGAAACAAATGGTGATTGGTGTCAAGTAACAAGTGAGCAAGATTCAAACTTTGTTGTTATCAATGAGAGAAAGTAACTAGGGTGTACGTGTTCCCTATAAGCTCATAACCCGGTAATCCTAGTAATAGTAATCATTTCCTAGTGTATTACATGCAAAGTGACAAGTTAGGTATCTCTAATTTCTTTGTCCGGAAACTATAGAATTTTACCCCGCACCTTGGTCCGGCTACGTATGTATAATTTACTAACTCTTACTTTTACCTCATATTAGATATCACATCAATGTATGACTTAGTTTTCACCCTCGCACCAATTGACATTAGTCTATTCGATAGTATCACACTAAATCTATGTTGATAATTTTTTTCTTGTTAACTACCTCCTTGGTCTGGCAAGTAGCAACAAGATGAGTTCTAACGTTTGCAACCGCTAAAAAGACTTCTAAACGAAAGAATTATCAATGCATGCAATAGCACTATTTAAAAATTACTTAGTTACTATTCATACTTTGTTAATCGCTCATGGTTCCTACAATCCTAGTTGTAGATTTAGTTACCCATAATAGAAAGAACAAATTCATAGTTTTAGATGAAGAAATCATGAACTTACGTAATAAGAAGAATAAACCCAGAATTTCAACTTAAATTTCAAAGTAAAAATCTTCAAAACCAACTTAGGAAATCAAGAATTGCTAAAGTTACAAGTTAATCTCCAAAGCCAAAAACTAGAATAAAAGTAATAAGGTCTAACCCCCAAAAACGAGGTTTACATGCCCTATATATAGAAAAACAAGTCCCAACTAATAAGGAAATAAAGTTTCTGGACGCGGTTGTAATTGACGAGACTGACCTACGGACCGTGGACTGACCTACGGTCCGTAGGTCCCTTCCGTGATTTGAGACTTGGGCAATTTTTCAACTTCACAAATCTCCAACTTCTCAGTACCGAATGACGACTCAACAACACGGACCGTGACTCGATCCATGGTCTGTAGATCCTCCTCTTCCATAGTTTCATACTTAGACTTTTGAAATCAGGTACTGGAACCACCTTCTCTGAACCATTTGACAGAACTACAGAGCGGACCGTACGTCTATCTACAGTCCGTCACTTGTAACCGTGATTCCACACTTAGTTAAGAATTCCCTGATTTTGCTCCAAGCCTACCCCATCGATCTACGCCCCTCACCTACGAATCGTGACTAGACCTACGGTCCGTAAGTCACGTTCGTAGGTGACTTTTTCTGCAACATTTCTTCAGTTCTCTCCTAACTCCCACGTTCGAACTTATTTCCTGCAAACACGATAAAAACACATTAATACCAATACAAAATGGCTCTAGACACACACAACTCTAAAGTGAAATGTATTTAAAATACCATAAACTCATAGCATATCAGCAACCGATCCCATGTTTATGCCGAAACGTGGCAACCAATCCCATGTTTATGCCGGAATGTGGCAACTGATCCAAGTTAGTGTGTCGGAACACAACACCTGATCCATTCAACAAACCACAATCACATTCACAATGTATATTCTCAAAATCATACAACAAGAGGTGATTCATGACATACAATTATTCAATTATCCTCATCCACAAGTAGTGTTTTCAATAGTGCAACATTCACATACATACACGTATTATAATGAAGCAATTACAAACATATATCACACCAACATGAAATCACAACCATCACCTACCTCGAATCCAAGCTTGAATAATGACAGATATACAGGGATGCCTCGATGTTAAATTAAAAGAGGAAGAAGGAGGGGCTGTTTACTGAGGAGCGTAGAGTTCTCACGGAGAGCCTACACACCATACCCGACATCCAACGGCTCTATCAAAAACACAAATACAAGTGGATGGATCGGAGCACTAGGACCTATAGCGAGGAGATAGTGAGAGAATTATATGCCTTATATGCTGCCACACTCCGTGGTTCTATCGACAAGAGGTCCAAGCCCACAACCCAGGCCCCTCTCACTTCTACTCTAGTCCGAGGCTTTTTAGTGACATATCGCAGATCACCATTAACCGATTGCTCAATGGTCCGGGCACCAAGTGGGCACTCAACACCACCTAATTTGACTACCGGTGGGATATTATGAGGAGTGGACCGTTCCAGCGAAATGCAGAGCAGAGGGAGGCCATATTACTTTGGTTGGCCAGGCACATAGCTATGGATGGAGAGTGTGCGGAGTGGGTCAGCACACCGCACTTGGGTATTTGGAAGGCCACCCTCAATTTGGTAGCCAAGTTCTTCTGGCATTTGGTGCGGAACAGGGTATCATTCACTAAGACCGATAATGCGCTTACTTAGGATAGAGCAGTGATGGTTGCGGCCTTGGTAGAAAGGTTCAAGATCGACTTTGCTCGCATGCTGTTTGCGAAGATCCATGAGAGGGCATTCAGGACCACCGCCACTTTACCCTTCCCATGTATGATCTTCTAGTTGTGCAGGGATTCTGGGGTGCTTATCTAGCATTGTGACACTTTGGTACAGGCGATCGAGACCCTTCATAACGGCCTTATTCGGGATGAGGCCAACGTAGCTACCCCGCGATGTGGTCCATAGATTGCGGTGCCGCCAATAAGAGTAGATTTTGTGGCTGATGTGGAGTAGATGCAGGGTGTTGACCCTGCCCTTCCAACCCACACTGATGATTCCTCGACCTCCCCATCTCTTGCGCCAGTCGGGCCCCTAGCTCATCCAGAGCCACCCCGTCTTCAAGAGCTGCTCTTGTGTCCTTGGTTCGGGTTCAGAAATTGGAGGCTTAGATGGCCACACTGCTCCAACATGTGAGGACATGAATGCAGCGGTCTATTGCAGAGTCCGAGATTATGATGAAGACCATGATGAACCGAAAGATCCAGACCGTTCATAAGCGCCTGGACCCGTTCGAGTTGAGGGTCCTCGCACGACCAGCCCCAGCCAGAGAGCTCTTCTCTTTTCGGACTGAGTTGGACAGTCTCTGGGCCGACCTTAATGCCATCATTTCCCCACACATAGATGAGCCAGAGTCTGCACCTACTGCACTGGTTGATGATACAGTTCTTGGTGCTCTATACAACGAGTATGTACCGCAATTTGAGTCCACTCGTGTCCGAGGTAGGAGACAC